CAAGGATCGCTTCACGCAGAGTGATTATGTAGGAAGGCAAACAAGCGAACATTTGGGCTTCTAGTCATCCTTTCTTCCCTACCTGCCATACAGGGGATCCCTGAGCGGGCTCTTAGTATTCAAAAGGCTTACCCAACGATCAAGCGAGCGAAGTTTTGGAGCAAAATTTGGACCATAAAAGTTCTAGAGGAGAGGCTTCTGTTTGACTCTAGTTCGGCGGACAGAAAACCTATGGACAAACCGATGGTAGCTATGGCCCCGTGTGCTCTTGAAAGCACGCCGACGCAACCGGCCACAACTCCGGATTCAGCTTCTACTGACTCTAGTTCGGCGGACAGAAAACCTATGGACAAACCGATGGTAGCTATGGCCCCGTGTGCTCTTGAAAGCACGCCGACGCAACCGGCCACAACTCCGGATTGCAGCTTCTACTCAACCAACTCAGACCCTCCGACTACCAAAGGCAGCGATGCTCGGGAAGAGGCTCGCGTGGACGCAACGCCCAAAGTACGTAAAGCTAACATCGCTTATTCCCGTGGCAGACGATAGAGGCGCAGCAGTGAACTCCACACCCAAGTCATAACTTCTGAGCTGGGTCAGATGTGAAGAGGCAAGCGGCCAGGCCTGCCGACAAAGTAGCAAGCATCAACCTCGACATTGGAGAATGCAGCGAGAACCCTACAGCTATCAATAATGTAAAACTACCAGTCTAAAGCTCAAAGCCGTTAAAATGGCCTCTCCGATTGTGGACACAGTCGTCGCCCATGAACCGACAGCCAAAGCCACAAGCCCGACAACAGCGAACCGGAAAATTCTTCGTACACCCAGTTGGTCACGCTGATCGCGGTCAACTCGAGGTCCACAAAACAGGAAAAAAAAGCGACTGAAGTCAAACAAACCACATGAACTTCGCTAAATCAGAAAGCTATTGACTAGCTTCAAGGTGGTTTTCTGCGAAAACGAGCCCAATTGGAGCGCCTCCAAAAGGAACACTCCTTGTTGCTACCACCCAACGCACATGGCCTCACAGAGACACATTATCGATCAAACCGCGCCAAAATGCCCAAGAAACCAAACAGACACATGTTTGTCCCAAGTCCTCGAACAACAGCAAACCTGGTCATCCAAAGAGCGATATTGAACGAGCTAGAAGTAGCTGCGGACGACATTTTCGCTCACAAAGAGAGCAAACCTACAGCCCCCTACAGTTCGCGTAAATCGGACTCTCGAGGGGTGGAAAAGACCTGCAGATGGAAAGCAACGCAGAGTGATTATGTAGGAAGGCAAACAAGCGAACATTTGGGCTTCTAGTCATCCTTTCTTCCCTACCTGCCATACAGGGGATCCCTGAGCGGGCTCTTAGTATTCAAAAGGCTTACCCAACGATCAAGCGAGCGAAGTTTTGGAGCAAAATTTGGACCATAAAAGTTCTAGAGGAGAGGCTTCTGTTTGACTCTAGTTCGGCGGACAGAAAACCTATGGACAAACCGATGGTAGCTATGGCCCCGTGTGCTCTTGAAAGCACGCCGACGCAACCGGCCACAACTCCGGATTGCAGCTTCTACTCAACCAACTCAGACCCTCCGACTACCAAAGGCAGCGATGCTCGGGAAGAGGCTCGCGTGGACGCAACGCCCAAAGTACGTAAAGCTAACATCGCTTATTCCCGTGGCAGACGATAGAGGCGCAGCAGTGAACTCCACACCCAAGTCATAACTTCTGAGCTGGGTCAGATGTGAAGAGGCAAGCGGCCAGGCCTGCCGACAAAGTAGCAAGCATCAACCTCGACATTGGAGAATGCAGCGAGAACCCTACAGCTATCAATAATGTAAAACTACCAGTCTAAAGCTCAAAGCCGTTAAAATGGCCTCTCCGATTGTGGACACAGTCGTCGCCCATGAACCGACAGCCAAAGCCACAAGCCCGACAACAGCGAACCGGAAAATTCTTCGTACACCCAGTTGGTCACGCTGATCGCGGTCAACTCGAGGTCCACAAAACAGGAAAAAAAAGCGACTGAAGTCAAACAAACCACATGAACTTCGCTAAATCAGAAAGCTATTGACTAGCTTCAAGGTGGTTTTCTGCGAAAACGAGCCCAATTGGAGCGCCTCCAAAAGGAACACTCCTTGTTGCTACCACCCAACGCACATGGCCTCTCAGAGACACATTATCGATCAAACCGCGCCAAAATGCCCAAGAAACCAAACAGACACATGTTTGTCCCAAGTCCTCGAACAACAGCAAACCTGGTCATCCAAAGAGCGATATTGAACGAGCTACAAGTAGCTGCGGACGACATTTTCGCTCACAAAGAGAGCAAACCTACAGCCCCCTACAGTTCGCGTAAATCGGACTCTCGAGGGGTGGAAAAGACCTGCAGATGGAAAGCAGCTCTCGAAACCACCAAGGCAGGAAGCATGCAAGTATGCTACAGAGGCCTATTCGGAACCTTGGACTCAAACCCGGCTCACAGCTATTAAATCTGCTAACCCCTCTGGCAGCACACCTCTCGGATCCCCATCTCTGGAGGCAGCACACCTCTCGGATCTCCACCTCTGGAGGCAGCAGAGACAGTGTTGAAATGCTTCTCCACGAAGTGCTCCAGTCTTTTCAACAAACTTCGCAATATCAAACAGTCAGCTTGCCTTGAACAACCTTCCATAATCGCACTCACAGAGACCTGGTTGACAGCAGATGTCTCGAAGAGATCGATGGACAGTTACTCTTTTTTGAGCTGACTCAAAATGTGGGACGACCGGTAGGGTTGTCTTACATTTACATGCGGCCCTTCTCATCCTCTCCGCTATCACTCCTGCACCTTTTTGCGATACACTGTGGATCCAAGTCCTGCTGCGCGGGACCGATTCTCTTCTTCTCAGCGTTGTCTGCCGTTGTGCCTAGAGTCCTCCGGAAGATGATCAAGTCCTCATACAAAACCCTTGAGCGACTCTCTTCCAGGTACTACTTCACAATCTCTTATTGGTAGGTTATTTTGACGCCACCAAGGCCTCCTGGATGGAGGATGGATGCATCGAGTCCAGTGGACATTTTGCAGCGGCTCCGACCAAAGTCTTTCAACAGAGCGCTTGGACTCAACATGACCCACCAGATGCCGAACAGACCACCTACCATCCATCTTGGATTTGGTCATCACCAACGAAAGACGCTTCGCTGGTCAGGTGTTAATTAACGTTCAAATGGGGCATAGTGACCACTGTGTGCTGAACTTTGATTTATTCTGCTACTGGGCCAAAAATCCCGGAATCCAAGCGTGGATTCGAAACTTCTGCCGTGAAGACTTTTCAAAACTGCGCATCTTTCTTGATCAATTTAAACCGGAACCACCTTCAGTAGAAGTAATACCAGACCATTGTCCAGAAAGTTCACAAGGCTGACACGAAGTTCTTCACACAAAAACGGTACGAAATCGGATGGGCTGCAAACTATCTAGAAGGATTCGACGTCGTCCGGATAAGAGGTCTCAACTATCTTTTTCAAAAAGTTGAACACAGGAGATAAAGAAGATGAGCTGGCGTTTCATAAAATACGGAACCGCTGTAGGTCAGAAATCCACCAGTGGAACAGACGAAAACAAGCAACCAAAAATGTGCTATTTATGTACAGGCAAGGTGATGGAACGCACTCCAAAGCGGACAATATAGACGAACATACTACCAGCAACCTGATATTCACAATTCAACACGAATTCCCCCGTACCTTCTTGCTTGACGAACATGCTCGTTTTTATGGACATCTTGACCTAAGCTAAGGACGAAGAATTCATATCGAATATCATATTCCTCGATTTCTCGAAAGCATTCAGTTGAGTCCCACAGGCCCCGCTGTTTCACAAACTCGAGCCTTAGGGGATTCAAGGGGAAATTGTACGCTGGATTAGTGCCTTCTTATCAGAAAAACACTCCCAGTAACAGTAGGCTCGACCTACTCTTCTCCGGCGTCGGTCTCCATTGAAGTTTCCCAAGGCTCCGTTTAAGGGCCACCGCTGTTGGCGGTCTACGTCAACGACCTTCCAGACGTTCTTTCAAATATATGCCTACTTTTGCGGACGACTGGGGTTGACATGCCAGTGCCCCCCCCCAAATGGATGTAGATGTTCTAGAGCAATGCTCTTTGAACTAGCATATTTCTCTGAATGAAGGAAAGTGTGTCCATGTAATTCGGAAAGGATTCAGCGAATGCCCTTGTCGTGCACGGACCAGAAGACACCACAAGGATAGATGGCAAAAAGGATTTGGGTATCTGGCTCTTTCCAAACATGTCCTTTCCACTGCACCATGGAAAATAGGCTCAAAAAGCATCCGCCGTTCTACGGATGATTCAGTGCACGTTCTCCCGTATGACTCGCATGAACATTCAAATACTCTATGGGACCTACATTAGAATGCCTTCTGAATAGGCCAACCAAGTTGTCTACTCAGGACGCAAGAAGGATATAATCCTCATTGAGCGTGTCCAACGAGTTCCAACGAAAGTGGCTGCCGGCCTTATATCCGTGAACTATGAAACGCGTCTGGCGGCGGCTACCCTTTCTCCTGGAGTATCGTCTCCTACGAGGAGACCCGATACCTACTTATGCTCTGTTTGAACAAGGTTTGGCCATAAAAGATTTTTATCGTTGGCCCAGTAAACGCACGGCAGTAACATGGTAAGAAGATTTTCAAGCTCAGAACAGACAATTTCATTAGGCCAATTTTTTCTCATTTCAGGAAGTTGGTGCGTGGAATAACCTTCCTGGTCTACTGCAGTCTAGAGATTATCCAACTTTTGAAACACTAGCAGTGAATTCTCTCACCCAACCGTTTCAGATGAGTTACGCACGCTGTGGAAATCCCCCATATGACGATAAAGTACAACATTTAATAAAATCATCTGTGACCAAAATTATTCGCACAAAAGCAAGTAGAAAAATGAGGTTAGTTAGATCAACCAATGAACACCACAGGGTAGACCTGTATTCAATGCTGCACAATATTTACCTCTTGGGAAAACTGCGACAGGTCGTACACCTTGTCATGTATAACAACCCACAGGTCGTCTGGCTTGTTATGCTTCTTCACCTCTTCGAGGGTGAATACTTTGGTCTCAGACATCGTAGAGCTTGTACGTAACGCGGGACTAAGGAAATGATCGAGCTACAGTGAAATCAAAATCTATCCTGTAATCAAAATAATTTATTCTCTCATCGGTCCCAACAACTCCAGTGTACCGGCGACACTGTACAGGACAACCAATGGGCACTGCGCAAACAGTATGACAACCCACGTGGAAATGATCCTCCAACATTGAACTCTCATTGGTCGAGAGCTAGCGCCGTCACAAACCGTTCACTTGGCGCTCAGTATTCTCACAGGGGAACTGAATTCTCGAACAATATGACGTGTCCCTGGTGGATTAAAGCAATCAGGAAATTGAATTGAGGGTAACAGTCCAAACGTTCAAGCCCCATTTAGGCATCTCGGGGTCTCATCGGTGGTGGGAAATCATCCTACAAGACTTTTCAACCAGAGTCACGTTTGCTCCAGTGAACAATGAAATTTGATGAGCTGCATAAACGTGAAGGCATATTAGAATGATTTTTGGTTTGAGCATATATGCGACAAAATTCAACACTGAGGCGCAGAAGATTTTACTCCACTAGTAAAGCTTTCGCAGCTGAGACAATTGTGCGGTTAATGGGCACTTTCAAAATTAATTTTGCACGAAACTATGTGGAGTTAGTACAATCGGGTTGTGTTTTCCAGCGATACGTTTCTCGTAAATTTTTCTTAAATCAAGCTACTTTTCAAGGTCACCGATTGCCACCCATTCACATGGATAAAGCGCGAAGTCGACACTGGTGTTTTGTACCTATTTCTGCATTAATTACAACACTATGAATTTCGTCAAATGCATAATCGTTTTTGGTTTGAATACGAAAAACTACGAAAACGCCCACTTGTACAATTTCACACAATACAAACGTAGTCACGTGCTTCGACTCCCTCTTCTGATTTCGCTCGCGCTTGCAGCGTTCACTCTGGCACAAAAACAGTCTTCCGAATCTATTACGTGCGGTAACTGTTCAGAAGATTACCTTACCAGCATACTTGGATTATTCACGGATTCACGGATTGATACACAGGATCGAGGCTTTCACCCAAGTTTACGCGTCGGTTTTGTTCTTGTCGTCCAGCGGCCACCGTTCACCATGCACTGATA